CAATGTTACAATCAAGAAACAGGTATCGATTTTGAACAAATATTTGTACTGGTAGCTAAATTAGAATCAATCCACATGTTTCTTGCATTTGCATGCTATAAAAGTTTTACACTTTATCAAATGGATGTAAAAAATGCATTTTTAAATGAATATATTCAAGAGGAAATTTTTGTTGAACAACCTCCCGATTTTAATGATCACAAGTATCCGGATTATGTTTTTAAACTTTAAAAAGCTCTTTATGGTTTAAAGCAAGTTCCAAGAGCTTGGTACGAACGTTTGGACAAATTTCTACTTTCAAAATGGTTTTTCAATTGAGAAAGTGGATACTGCACTTTTTGTTAAAACTCATAAATGAGATATGCTTGTTATTCAAATTTATGTTGATGACATTATTTTTGGTACGACAAATATTCGTCTTGGCGAAGAATTTTCAAAATGTATGAAATTCGACACCACTTTCTTAGATATCATGCACAAAAGGGTGACATTGTGTTAGAATTCATAAATACCGAAAACCAATTGGCCGATATCTTTACCAAAACCTCCAGCACACGATCAATTTTCACAAATTCGAAAAAGATTAGGAATTATCGATGAAGATGATGTTCTTTGATAATTGAGTTCTTTTTTAAATATAAATAAATAAAATATTGGATGAGTCGAACAGACTGTCCGGTGTGACTAGTTAAATCGGACGCTTCAAAGTGGATGTCTAAAACCTTTGATGGTGATTATTGCAAACTCGATAAAAACGAAGACACAAAATTCAAGATCATGAAACGTGCACATTGACAAATGAAATAGGCACTTGAAGATCAGCATGGAAACAAAATTGGCGATTGACGAACATGGGGACGAAAATCGAGTCGTCACATAAAAAACCACCTTGGAGAAAAGATCGATCATCAAACTTCAATACATTAGATGTAGATGCTTTGAATTTATATGTAAAGGCAAAACACTTCAATTCTTAGCATCGACTATAGCTCAAAATAATTTTTATGCACAAGAACAAATTCATGTTACAAAGATATTTGCATAAAAATTAATTTTTAAAAAGTGTGAGTATTTCAACTCAACGATCAAATATGTACAAAAACACTTATCTTTACAAAATAAGTGAGAAAGTTCTTCAAGAACTTACATCGATCAAATTCATTACAAAGGAAAAACACTTATCTTTACAAAATAAGTGAGAAAGTCCTTCAAAAACTTACATCAATCAAATTCATCACAAAGGAAAAACGTCTAGGGACATTTTTGTGATCCGAAAGTCCGGATGCCCAACGGTCACTTTTTTTACCGTTCTATCTCTTACTTAAACGATTTTTTTTTTTAACTGTCTGGACCCCAACCAGACAGAAGTTTTTGCTCGTTTGAGTGCTATAAATACCACTTATCTTTCTTATTTGCAACAACCTTCTTTAAATATTTAAGTGAGACTTTTATTGATCTCAACTACTTTGTTTTCAATCTTTAGAAGATCAAAATATTTATTTTTTGAATATTTTTTTAGTGATTAAATTTGTGAAACTCTTTTATCTCATTAAAGATTTTTAATAACTAGCACTTGAGCTATATTCATTGCTATTTATTGAAGTGTTAGCCTACTTCTCTCTTGATACTTAATTGTGATCATATGATTTATTAAGAGATAAGCTTTTACTTGTAATATCCATTTTTTTGTTGGGAAAATTGTAGCGGAGTTCCCAAACCTTTCATTTTGTTGAAGAGTATACCTTAATCTTTCATTTTTGCAGTCGCACTCACTAACCTTTCACTTTAATGACAACCAGAGTCCAAATGACAAATCTCGTCCAGATAGCCGTTAGTCAACACCAAAATTGAAATTTTGACTCAAATTGGCAAATTAAGTGAGGCGTAAAATGATAAATTATATAAAAATTAACAAAACAATTCGTCTTCTCCAAGAACTTCGTCTTCTCTAAACATCTTACTCCCCATCCCCAAAATCGAAAACAAAAACAAAAACCAAACCCAATTACTCCGACCACTGCAAACCCATCACCGCAATTACAATACCGTCCGATCGTCATTGCCACTAGTATGCCGCACCGCATCGTACCGTACTAAGGACCCAATGCCAAATGATATTAAGGATGGCATCAAAGCTAGAGAAAGGGATTTCATTGGAAGATCTGCCTTCAATCCAAAATGATAGGGGTAAATAGATCATATCGAAAAGGAAGCTAACGTGCTTTGCCCCCTTCTCCATTAGTTCTCCTAAAGGTGGTGTTGACGGGCAGCTTCTCATAAGCTTCTAAAAAAATTAAAGACCCAAATTGGAGCATATGGTGGAACTGAATTACCAAAATCACTCAGTTTTGATGGAAAAAAAAATCGAGCAAAAATTAATTGCTCTCTAGTAAGCATATTGTTAAGACATACACAAAATTAACTTTGTGGGTGCTTGCATTGACGGTAGTTGTAGTGGACAGTGCGGCATCGTGTGTATTAGGAGCGGTGGTGACTAGTTTTGTAATTTTTCGTTTTTGGTGGGATGGGATAGGTGGGATGTTTAGAGAAGATGTTCTTTATGATGTTTGGCGAAGATATTATAGAAAATATTCATTTACCATTTTAACCTTCACTTAATTTGCCAATTTGAGTCAAAATTCTAATTTTAGTGTTGACTAATGACATTTTGGACGGAATCCTTCATTTGGACTGTGGTTGCCATTAAAGTGAAAGATTTAGGACTGCGACCACAAAAAATAAAAGGTTAAGGTATACTTTGCAATAAAATGAAAGGTTTGGGACCTCCGCTGTGATTTTTCATTTTTTTGTTTGACTGTGAGTTGTGTTGAAGTCTCGAAAATTTCAATGTTGTAAAAGAATTTATGCTCCTTGTTTGTAAGTTACCAGAAGCTTTGTAAGGGTTGGATTGCGCAAAAAGTCAATCAACAATAGTGAAAAATACTTTGTTCGTGACGGAAAACTTGTTAACGGAGGACGTAAAACATTGATTGGATCGAACCTCCATAATTACATTGTTTGTGCATTTTCTTCCCCTTTTACTTTTACTTTCTTATTTGTGCTATCTTACTTGTAAATTAATTGATCTGTTATTTGTTTAAGATTGTGATTATTTTCAAAAATGTTTTTAAACAACCAATTCACTCCCTCTTATTTAGCTATTCTTGGGCTTTCAAAGTATAACATGAAGTGAACAAAAGATTTTACAACAAGAGTTGAAATTTCAAGACTTGGTTATGTATTATTAAAAATGTTAAGTCTATAAATAGCCTATTTCTAAACACGTGCAATTACCTTTTTCCTTTTTTTCCTTTAGTAGAAGGGTGGAATGGATTTTTAGATTCATAATCATAAGTATAAATTCTTGAAGTTTCTAGACCTGCACCTTTATTTCTAGTGGGTTACTAAATTTCATTTTATCATAATTGATTCATTAAAATGTATACTTTACTTCAATCAATTAATACTTCATTAGATTGCACGAACTAAAAATTCTAGATCTTGACATATCATAAATTATTCAGTTGACGTTATCATTAACTGCTTTGAATAAATTGACTTTTGAAACTAAATTAAGAATTAAACAACTCAATTATGATTAAATCCTCGTTTGAGCCATATTTTAGTAAGAAAATATATTTTAAAATAGTGATTTTTTAGAGAATGTGTGGTTAAAAAATAAGGAAAAAATTTCAATTTAAGTGTAAAATTATTTTATGGGAGAATATGTAGTTGAAAATGAATTTTGAAAAAATGAAACCAAACATAGACTTAAATAACATTTAATGGGAGCCTACTTTTTATTTCTATGCGAAAAACATGTCCGAGACTCATAATAACTTACTTAACATCAAAACATAAGTTAAATAATAACCCAATACTAATATATTCGAAAGTAATTTAACATTTGGTCATATTATTTGTTGCTTTTCCCATGTTTGAAGCAATCTATATGTCTGGCGAGTTAGAATAAAGAGTAATGTGATTTGCAGTCGTTCTTTATGGCATACATGTGACGATTAATGATTTGATACATCAATATGTAGCTTTTTATTACTTTATGCAATAAATCACTAACTGTCACATGTATACCACGTAGGATGACTGCAGTAGTGAGCAACTGCAAATAATGTTATTATAGAATAAAACTATTTTGAAAATGAATTTATTAGTCATTGATAGAGGTGTAAATAGAGTCGACATGATAAAATTGCTTTTAAATCTTTAATGAAAGACTAATATATTGAAAAATATTAACAATGCTATGTCTTTGTATGATACGAAAAATTACTTTTTACAATATCTATTCTTAATCAGTTACTACATATCGATTTTTCATAATTTATTTGAATTTTTACATTAACGGAAAAATCCTATATTATGGAACCTAACCTTAAAATTCGCAGTTAGCGACATGAATTAAATTACTGTGATTGAGTCCCATTTTTATTAAAAAAATGTATTTTAGAATAATAAATTGATGGAGAATATGTGATTGAAAAATAAGTAAAATTTTATGAATTATATGTAATATTATTTTAATGAAGGATGAATGATTGAAAAGAAGAGTTATGATGTTTGAGTCACATTTTTTTCAAAAAATACATTTTTAAATAGTAATTTGACATCATTTTAACAATACATTTTTAATAAAATAATATTATACGTAAATCCAAAATTTATCTTTATTTTTAATCACACATTTTCCATCAATATACTATTAAAAAATGTATTCTAAGGAAAATAATTTGGCTCAAAAAAAGGATTACAAAAGTTATGGGGGTGTTTGGGAGATATTTTTATGTGAAAATATATTTTTGAATAGTAAATTGATGGGAAATATGTGATTGAAAAATAAAATTTTTTTATTTACGTATAATATTATTTTAATAAAGAATATGTAGTTAAAAAGAAAAAGGAAAAATGCATTTTGAAATAAATGGGTACCAAACGGGGCTAAATATTATCAGCATTTTTCACACGCACAGTCACTTCTTTTCTCTCGTGCGCTAATTGCATTTCTCTACCCTCTACCTCTTAACATATCTGTCTTTTTCTCTCTCTAAAGTTTGGCCAAAGCACTGAATCGTACGTACCCTCTCTATTTCACTCATTTACTGCAAGTGTAGTTCATTGATCAGGTAACTAAATTCGTAAATTTGATTTAATCAACCGGATCATGTTAACTTGGCTATTTCTATTTCGGATTGAGGAAATATGCGCTTAATGATCGGTATGAATGTGAAGCTTTTTTGTACTTTTAACTGAAACTTATCGTTTGCTCAAAAATGTTATTTATGTAAACAGATTTTTTTATAAACCTCGAAATTTCGATCATTTTGGTTCTAGGGTTTTGTTCTTTACCTTTTTAGAGTTAGATCTACAGATGGATTTAGTAAAATATCAACCCTTTATTGGTTTATTCGTGGATTTTAACATTTATCCTTTTTTCTTGAACCTTTCTCCAGAAAGATGTAACATTGGTAATTACTTTTGGGGTTTTATAATATGGTCCAGAAACCAACTATCAGTCTTTCCTAGAAAACGTGAATTCTTTTTATTTTAATTTTTCATTTCGGCTGTTGCAGATGCTGATTTTAGTTCTACTTTCATTGAAAAGCTGTGATCTTTTTGTTGTCTGTTTATCAGTAATGTGCATGGTGCTGCTTGATATAATATTTAATGGGAATATCTGTGTTTTATGGCTGTTTTGGAGTTTGGGGTTCTGTTGTTTGGCAATTTGGAATTTAATGGCTTTTTTTAATTACACAAATTGCTACCGAGTATCTATGCTAATGACATGGTTATTATATAGAGCGTTTTTACTGGAATGCATCATTTTTGGGGGCAGAAATCAATTTATCTTTCTTACCTGTTATTTAAAAAGTTTGAAATCTGGAGCCAGTTGTTATCTTTGCAGATGGACTATAATACTGCTCAGTCTGTTGTTACACTTAAATTCTTGTTCGCTTTGTTTGTGTAATGCTATAAATTTCTTGGGATTACTCGCAACAAGTAGCTAGAGGTTCTTTTATTCTCTCGCGCTTCTCTATTTAATCTCCAAAAGAATTGAAAAGATACCATTTTAATACTATATATTTACTTGATTTTCTGTAGGAATGGCCATGCAAACAGAGACTCCTCCAGCAGCTCCCAGTGCTCAAGTGGTCGGAAATGCTTTTGTTGAGCAGTACTACCATATTCTCCACCACTCGCCTGAGTTGGTTTTCCGCTTTTACCTGGATACAAGTGTGTTGAGTCGCCCAGGTCCTGATGGTGTTATGACTACTGTGACAACCATGAAAGTAAGTTTGTTGAGCACTGAGTATGCTTATGTACCTAGTGCTGCTATTTCTACCCATCATGCTTCTCTTCCTGCAGCCTTCTTCTCCTTCTTCTTCCCTTTTATTTATTCTGCCGCAAATTAAAAAGTGACAATCAATGTATTATGCGTGCTGAATTTCTGCATCATATCTTTTCTGGTAGCTGACTAATCTTTATAACATTTTCGTTAGATGTGTGGAGTCTAATATACTGTACACTTCTCCCCTGGGCAGTGGTTCGACCTCGCGGCAAGGTTGACCGGGGGTTCAGCAGGCAAATTTTTTTTTAAGTGTTATAGGAATACTTTGGGAATTTCGAAGATTTATTAGGCTTTCCTAATATTTTCCTTCGATATAAAGGATAATATGGTGAGGCCTCCATTCTGTATATCTAAGTAGGGAGAAAATAGAGAGATGCGTGAGTCTCGAATACATTGTAATTCTCTTCTTCGATATAGTGCGATTCGGAAACTGCACATGGTGCAGTAGCTGTCACAATGAGAATGAAGCATGTTATCGTGTGGTATTGTCGCTTTCATATTTCTAGTTACGTGTTATTAACTGCTCTTGGCTCAGTATTATAATTTTAGCAATCCTACCTTTATAATATGTTATAATTTTTAACCACAATGTCTAAAGATGACATCCTAAACTTGAATGTGGGTTGATCTCTTATTCTTTTTAATTTGATTGCTAGATACCTAGTTAGTCAAGATCTCCTTTTCATTTAGTACTGATCTCTCAGGGGGACAATGTTGAATAGTTATAGTTAAAAATGTTCACACATGGTCTAACACTACAATGATGTAAATTTTGTGGGATATTTCTGTAATTAACCTTATGCATCGAAGATGTGAAAGTTGTCCATGTGGTAATGTCCTTGGCCTTTTCATTTCTTTTCATTTTTTTCCCGTTCGGAGGCTGTGATTATAACAAAGGATGATAGACCATATTGGGTGCTCATGTTTACGTGCTACATAGTAGATAATGTAGTTTGCATTATACAAGGATTCTGACTTGTCAAAGGTTTAATGTACAAGGAGAAACACTTAGAGGCACGGCATTGAAGAAATCACACCACATAAGTTGCATTAATGTCAAATTCTCACACGTTTGTGTCTCATACTTCTTTCATTACACATCAGAGGATGAAAATAAAACGTTGGAAGGATAAAATAACAGTAAGTAGCAATCTTGATCACCATATTGTGTTGAAATTTAGTTCTTTACCTCGATTAGTAAAGAGAATGTTACATATACAACCAAGAGAACTTTATGGACAACCAGTTATCAGATGGATGACAAACACATTTAGTTTGTTGTAACAATCTCTCCATCCCACTGAGCATCATCTTTTGTGGAGCATGGGTTTCAGAAGGACAATGTACTTTATAGACGGTCAAACAATGACAATTGACAAATATGTTAGCCCATTTCTCAGAAGTAAGAAATTAACCTTTCTGAAATAACCTGAATTTAGTGTGTCGTGGGTCATGTTTTGTTTAAACTTGACTAGGTCCCAAAAATGTTCCAGCTGTAAATTGAATTAATACCCTTGAATAGCTCCTGTTTAAACGGTTCCCATTTTCTTAGTTCATTTGCCCATCATCAGGATATATATGATACTGAGAGAAAATAGGTTTCATCATATAAATTTTAGCTTGGAATGAAACTGCAGATATTCTTGTGTAAAAATTTGTGTCTTGCTTTTCCGTTTGTCATTATCGTCAATGCTGAACCAAGAGAACTGGTAAGGACGGGTCCATTGGTAGACCTGAATGGTGCAAATTGCAAAAAATGAGTTTCACCAAAATTAAAAAAAAAAAAATGCAGGATCCCTTTGAATAACAGAAAATTGCAAGGGAAGATTTTCCAAGGGAAGCTTGTGAAAGTAAAATACAACGAAAAATTTTTCCGTCCGTGTTTGTTTGCAATGGAAATCTTTAATTATTGAAATTTATAGAATAAGTGTAACTAATTGAATTTCCCCACACAGTACTGCACTTTTGAATGTGACATGTTTGTGGAAAATACAAGAAACTATCTTGCAAGTAAGAATTTCCTGCAACGCAAGGAAAATAAAGAATAACTACCTTCCCACTTTTCGCTCCCCCTCATAAAAATACGGTCTGCACGACCTTTTCTCGTATAGTTTCTTGTTTATCTCCTGTTTGCTACATATTGGTGAGATTTGGTAGAAATCTCTGCGAAGTTCTTGATTTTAGTTAAAGAAATCATTAAAGAACTATTGATTACTTTTACTCTCATACCTCAACACCTTTCAAATTCCAAAACTACCCTTGACTTTTGCCACATGTATTTTGAATGAGTTCAACAATCATGCTGTTGGAAAGTCTATCAAATTAATGTTGGTAGTATTGATAGATTTTAGATAATTAGTTGTAAATGGTTTTATATCTTAAAAGATATATTAGGAGATAATCTTGATGAATTTTTGAATAGATAATTAGGAGATAATATTTCTTTATAGTTATCAATTAGTTATTTTGTTCTCATCCATTTCTCCTATGTAACCTATAAATTGGCACTTGTAAATCATATTTTATACATCAATGAAATACATTTGTTCTATAATTCTTTAGATGGTATCAGAGCTAAAACAATTGTTCCGACACTTTTTAGATTTTCTGGACTTATTCCAATTTTTTCTTTTCCATTCTCTCTCACTTCCTTGTGCTAAACCTAGTCTCCAAATATGTCCGAAATTTCTGAATCGATTCCCTCTCCATCAAACATGACTTCTACTTGTTTACCTCATTCTGATTCCAACTCTTTCTAGATCACTAGTATTGGAATCAATGGTAATAATTTCTTGTGTTGGTTGATGTCTGTGCAAATGTTCATTCGAGGAAGTGGAAAAATTGGATACCTAACTGGAGAGAAGAAGGCACCTGCAGCTGATGATGCAAACTATGCCATTTGGGATGCTGAAAACTCGATGGTCATTGCCTGGCTCGTTAACTCCATGGAGGAAGACATTACCTCAAATTACATGAACTACCCTACTACCAAGGAACTGTGGGACTACATTCACCAGATTTACTCCGACCTTGGTAACCAATCTCAGGTTTATGAATTGCAGATTCAACTTGGAGAAATTCGACAGAATGAGGATAATGTTACCAAATACATTCATACTCTAAAAAGACCAGGATCTTGATCTCTTTAATGTGTATGAGTGGAAGTCACCTAAAGATTACACTCATCATAAGAAGATGGTGGAGAATGACCGGATCTTCAAATTTCTTGTAGGATTAAACATAGAATTTGATGAAGTGAAAGGTAGAATCATTGGTCGCTCCCCTCTTCCCTCACTTGAAGAAGTCTTTGCGGAGGTTTGAAGAGAGGAAAGTCATTGTGATGTCATGCTTGGGAAGAAGGTAACTACTATACCGTTTGAACATTCTGCACTGATTGCTGCTGATGCAAATCGAAGTAGGTCTATATGTAACCAACGACCTGGGAATGATAAGCCCTGTGTGTGGTGCAATTTTTGCAACAAGCCTCGTTATACTTGTGAGACTTGTCGAAAAATTCATGGGAAGCCTGAAAATTGGAAAAGCAGTAGACCTAGTGAACGATTCAGTCAAACAACACCTGTTCATGAGCCAAAAACAATTCCCAGTCCCTTCAACAAGGAGCAGACGAATCTCCTTCTAAGGATGCTTAACTCTAATCCACAACCTGGTATTCCTAGTGGTTCTCTGGCTCAAACTAGTAGGATTTTTTGTACTTTCTCGTGTCATTCAAATTATCTCCCGGACCTTGCTTGTAATCTCATATCTATCGGTCAACTCTCTAAGAACTCTAATTGTCGTGTTCTCTTCTTGACCCCCATTGTGAATTTCAGGACCAGAGAACGGGGATGATGATTGGTAGTGCTAAAATGGTGGATGGATTCCTTCGATGACAATCCTCTCTCCAATAAACATGCTCAAGGATTTCGTACTAGTATTAGTTCTCTTCCTGCTTGTGAACGAATAATGCTCTAGCACCTTAGACTTGGGCGCCCTACTTTTTTGTATTTAAAATATCTATTTCCTACTTTGTTTAAAAATGAGGATTGTTCATCATTTGAATGTTAAAGTTTTCACTTATCCAAGAGTCATCATACTACGTGTAATTCTCTACCCTATTGTGCGTCAAAATCCTTTCTATCTGGTTCATAGTGATGTTTAGGGCCCTTTGAAAATTACAACATCTTCTGGAAAAAAATGATTCGTGACTTCCGTTGAGGATGACATCCGACTTTGCTGGGTATATATGATGAATGATAAAAATGAGGTTGAAAGATTATTTAATTTTTTTTTATAACATGGTCGAAAACCAATTTCAAATGAAAATTAAAATACTTTACACCTACAATGGAGTCGAGCATTTTAACCAAGTATTAGGAAACTTTTTACCAGAAAAAGGGATTCATCATTAATCTAATTGTAGTGATAACCTTCAACAAAACGGAATAGCCGAAAGAAAAAATAGGCATTTACTTGGGGTTGCTAGAGCTATTATGTTTCCATGCATGTACCAAAATGCTTATGGGGAGATGCTATTTTAACTGCTGCATATTTGATAAATCGAATGCAAGCTCATGTTGTAAAATACATCGCTCCTTAGCATGTCTTAAGAAAGTGTATCCCCAGTGTCGAATCACATCCAATCTTCCTTTAAAGGCTTTGTGTCTACGGTTTTTGTTCATCTACCCAATGGGCTTAGTTCAAAACTAGATCCCAGGCCATAAAAGTGTCCTTTTTGGCTATGCACCAAATAAAAAGAGGTATAAATGTTTTTAACACTCAAAACTAAAAAATATTTTATTAATATATATGTCAGTTTTCTAGAAAACCAACCTTATTATTATTATTTTTTTTTGCTGCAGCTGGGGGGGTGGGGTGGGGTGGTAACTACTAGTGAAGATTAGTTTTGGGAAATCAATCCCTTCCCTACCTCATTCTTTTCCTCTCTTGAACTTGATCTTATCCAAAAAACTCAGGAAATAGGTACTTCAAATTTGGAAAATGAAGGAATTAATTGTCCATTTTTGTCGAGTATTGAAAGCATGCATCCAGGGAGAGAAATGAGAAATGCTAGGGTAAGATGATACTCATCTTGTTTTTGAGTTCCGTGTTTATACTAGAAGGGGAACTCATCAAAGAAGCAAGGATCTGCCCACTTCTCTAATGCAAGATCAATCACCCCTGCATTAATGGCCAATCTATAGGTGCAAGCAATTCTATTTTCCCTATCTTAGATTCTACTTCAGATTAACTCCCTTCTTTACCAAACAATTTATCTGATCTAAACATTCCTATAGCCCTTAGAAATGGAGTCCGAAGTTGTACCAAACACCCTATTGCTAAACATTTGTCCTACCATAGACTCTCTAAGTCCCACAAATCATTTACAACAAAAGTCTCTAACTTAATTATCCTGAGAACTATTTAGGAAGCACTAGAAAATTTAGATTGGAAATTAGCGGTCTTGGAAGAGATGAATGCTCTAAGGAAGAATGGTACTTGGGAAATAGTTGACCTACCCAGAGAAAAGAAAACAATAGGCTGTAAATGGGTCTTTATTGTCAAATGTCAAGCTGATGGGAGTGTAGAAAGATACAAAGCACGTATGGTAGCTAAAAGGTTCACTCAAACATACAGGATTGATTATTAGGAGACATTTGCTCTTGTTACAAAAATTAATTCTATTCGTATATTATTATCTTTAGTTGCTAACTTTAATTGACCTTTGCACCAGCTAGACATTAAAAATGCATTACTTAACGGAGACTTGGAATAAGAGGTCTTTATGAATCTATGACCTGGTTTTGAGGAACAATTTGAGAGTATGCAAGTTGAAAAAAATTCTTATACAGCCTGAAACAATCGCCTCGAGCGTGGTTTGAACGCTTCAACAATATTGTTAAAGGTCACGTATATCCACAGAGTCAAGCTGATCATACTTTGTTTTGCAGACATTGGGAGGAAGTAAAAATCTCAATTTTAATCATATATGTTGAGCACGAAAGACTCAAAAAATTTCTTGCTAATGACTTAAAAATCAAAGACTTGGGGGCCTTAAAAATATTTTATTGAAATGGAGTTTGCTAGATCCAAGAGAGGTATATTTGTATCCCAAGAAAGTATGTGTTTGATTTGCTTGCAGAAATAGGATTACTCGGCTGCAAGGCAGTTGAGGCACCAATTGAACTCAGCTTAAAGCTTCTACCAGCTAAACCTGAAGATGTAAAAAATGAGCAATTTCAAAGGTTGGTTGGTGGGTTAATCTACCTATCACATGCTCGTCCAGACATAGCATTTGCCATGAGCATGATGAGCCAATTCATGCATTCACGAGGATCTGAACACTTTGAAACGGCTTATAGAATCTTGAGATACTTAAAGGGATCACTGGGAAAAAGGACTATTATTTGAGAAGAATAATAATTTACAAATCGAAGTATATACTGATGCCAATTGGGCTGGAAGTATAATTGATAGAAGATCGACTTCTGGCTACTATACATTTGTTGGAGGCGACTTGATTACACGGTTAGGCAAGAAGCAAAACGTGGTGGCTAGGAGTAATGCGGAGGCCGAATTCAAATCGGTAGCTCATGGAATATGTTAAGTTCTGTTGGATTTTATGCGCAATATTAAAGAGATGAAAAACGGAAATCAACACAAGATTTTTACGTGGTTCGGCGATGTGCCTACGTCCACGAGAGCGAAGCGGAGATTTCTTTTATTCAATTGTGAAAAATAGGGCTACAACATATTATTTATACTAACTTTAGCCTGGGCCCATATAAAACTTTAAGGCCCATACAGAAAATACCCTTGTACCGTACCGCGAGGGCATTGTCCCCGCACCCCCAACCCATTCAGCGTCCCTAAAAACCAGACAATAAATTAAACACGCACAAAGCCGATGCTGTCACTCCGCTCCGTTCTGTTCGATGCGTTCCGCTCCTCTCACTCCGCTCCGCGCGTCTGCCTATTTGATCCAGGGCATGTGTTCTACTCTATATGAGCCACATGCACAACAAGTTCTATAGGTTGAAAGAACTCTAGATGAACTAAAGATACCAAGTCTATCTCCAATAAAGGCATACTGTGATAACAAGGTAGCAATCTCGATAGCACACAACCAAGTTCTTCATGACCGGACGAAACACGTTGAGGTAGATAAACATTTCATCGAGGAATTTGATAGTGGACAAACATGCATGACTTATGTCCCTACAGATGATCAAATTGCAGATATCCTAACAAAAGGTCTACCTATAAAACAGTTCTAGAAGTTATCAAGCAAGCTGGCCATGGAAGACATTTTTTGACCAAGTTGAGGGGGAGTGTTGGAAAGTCTATCAAATTAATGTTAGTGGTTAATTAGTGGTAAATGGTTGTATATCTTAAAAGATATTTTAGGAGATAATCTTGATGAATATCTGAAGAGATAATTAGGGGATAATATTTCTTTATAGTTATCAATTAGTTATTGTGTTCTCATCTATTTCTCCTATGTAACCCATAAATAGGCCCTTGTAGATCATATTTTATACGTCAATGAAATAGATTTGTTCTATAATTCTTTAGACATGTTAACACCACTTCTAAATTGTATTTCTCTCTTTTGAAGGTTACTTTTGGAATCTAAATGAAATTTTCTTCCATATGGACAAGTGACTTCCATGTGAGGCAACTCAAAATTGATATTGTCATGTATAATATGGAAATGAGAAAGTACTTTTCATAATTATTTACCCACTATTTTTTATTTTGATCGCCATATAACTATTAGTAAGATCAGCTTCGTGTTGATTTTATGCTGGACAGAGTATCAATGATAAAATATGTTCCTTGGACTACAAAAACTTCAAGGCAGAGATAAAGACCGCAGATGCACAGGATTCTTATAAGGATGGAGTGATTGTTTTAGTAACTGGGTGCTTGACTGGAAAGGACAACTTGAGAAGGAAATTCACACAAACCTTTTTTCTTGCTCCACAAGACAAAGGGTACTATGTTCTCAATGATATTTTTAGGTATGTGGAGGAAAATGAGCCTGACGTAAGTGCACGACCAGTTGTTGGAATCGATGATATACCATCAACTTCTCTGAACCCAGATCCAGGTTGGCTTTGTTTTTACATATGATTTTACTATTTTGCTGCAGTATTGAAACTTCTCTCTCTCTCTCTCTCAGTTTTTTTATCATTTCCATTTGTTTTCAGAGCCTGCTCAAGTGCTCGATCCTCCCAATCTGGACCAGGCAAGTTCTCATGAACAGGTAGTTGAAAACATAGAGGATATCCATAACCCAGTGATTGGGGAGAGGCAAGTTAGTATTGAAGAGGATATTGTGGTGGAAGCTGAATCTCATTTAGATGAAAATCACATATCTGCAGTTGCAGAATCAGCTTCCTCTACTACCCCAGAGGATGCTCCAAAGAAGTCATATGCTTCAATTGTAAGTTCACAATCAAAGAAGGGGCCAACCAAAGTTTACGTACCTGCTAATACTTCGAGAGTAGCTCCTACGAAGACTGAAAAGCAATCGGTTGACGTAGCTACACATGCTTCTGACCCTGAAGCATCAGCCCGAGCTGCAGCTCTTAATGCACTCAAAATCGACGATTTCCAGGACAAAGGTATTGTGTTCTCTACCATATTCGGCCACTGGTTGAGGGCAAAGTTCTGATTACCAGTGCATGAAAACAAGCACTACTAAGTCTAACATGTATGATGAGAGGAAATTAAAAGAATCAAGAAACTTGTGAGAGCCAAATCTATTATTGAGATTATCCACTTTTTATTCCCTTTTTAAAGTCGTCATTCAAAAATATGATTCATTTTAATTTCCTTATTTTCTTAAAGTGGAGGGCCATTCCATTTATGTCCGCAATTTGCCGCTTGACATAATGGATGATCAGCTTGAGGCAGAATTCAAGAAGTTTGGATCTATTAAGCAAAATGGGGTCCAAGTTAGAAGCAATATGGTTGGTTTGATAGACATTATTTCCATGATTTGTTCAACCTGACTCAGCCTCTTTACAAGCTTAATAGTTTCTTCTTATTTTCTTCCTGCTCAGCTACAAGGATTTTGTTTTGGCTTTGTTGAATTTCAAGATTTCAGCTCCATGCAAAGTGCAATTCAGGTGTGTACGTTAATTTTCCTTTTCTGTTATCTTGTTCTTAGATTACGTCCAGAGAATGTAGAAATTACAACCTTGCCACAGAAATGTGTTAAAGGCCACTTGACTGATTGAAAGCCTCTTAACTAGTTTATTCTGTGTTAAATATGGTGTGATATTCGTTGTTATTGGAGTTTGAGTGATATTTAGCCCGTGTGATGGCCATTATTTTGAAAAAATGGTATTCTTTTTTTTTTTTTGGAGAATGTGTGGTTAAAAGGTATGGAAATTTTTTGGATTTATGGGCAAAAATTTTTCTTGTGTAAAAGTGTGATCGAAAATGAGTATAAGAATTAAAGGGTTTTGTTTCAAAGGAAGACGGGGCTTAATGATTGTTGGAAGCGGTTCAAATGGGTTAACTTTTAAGTGATACGTTGATCTTTGTAGTTGAATTTTGGAAAGGATCTTGAAGTCAGGCCTGGGGTTATGTTTTGAAGACTTTGTTGATACCTAGTTTATAATGAAGGAAATTAATACCTGTTTATAAAGAAGGAACTTAATCAATAGGCATGCACACTGAAGCTTAGGTCTCACTGTTTCTTTCTTTTCTTTAGACAGCACTTTCTATAATTTGTTTTGCTCCTAAAGCTCCAAGATAACAATTTCAAGTCCAGATCTTTTGCTTACTATTGAACCATACAAGTTTCAAAAGAGTTTCTGAGTTAAGTTTTCAGCCACCGTTTCCTGAAAAGATCCTGAACCCAGTTGCCTCATAATATATGCAAAGTTCCATCATCACTTTCCTGAAGCTTAGGTCTCACTGTTTCTTTCTTTTCTTTAGACAGCACTTTCTATAATTTGTTTTGCTCCTAAAGCTCCAAGATAACAATTTCAAGTCCAGATCTTTTGCTTACTATTGAACCATACAAGTTTCAAAAGAGTTTCTGAGTTAAGTTTTCAGCCACCGTTTCCTGAAAAGATCCTGAACCCAGTTGCCTCATAATATATGCAAAGTTCCATCATCACTTTCTGTCCATATCATCATTTAGTGGCATAAATACACAGGTTTATATTCACCTTTACCTTGCACGAAACTCAGTTGTGCTTTATTAAGCTTTCTGTATCGGATTGCTTTAACCTGTAAAGAATAATAACGTTTTGATCTTGTTGTTTTTCCCACCTGGTATTAATTAAAATTTGGAACTGGCACAACTAGTAAGATCCTCAGTAAGCATTTTTTTGCTTCTTGATGTCTTTTCCTTCTTAAGAAGGAAAGTCTTTTTCAAAGATTCTATAGAAATTTATATATGAAACCTTACAATGTGATTGGCCTATGCTTGGTTTTTGTTATGTAAAATCTAAAGCCACGATCTCGTTTTACTCTTAAATTGCTCACATGATTCTTTGTGTGCATTTGATCAGATGTTACCTTCGAAACTTCTTAAAAGATACACCAGACACCACAAGTGGTTTGGCTAAGTCAGTGAAAAAGTATACGGATCTTATTTCACAGCTTCATGCTTTCAATGTATTTTGTTTTTTAGCTTCCAAACATGAATATTTAATTCCTGATGCTAAGGTTTATATCATTTGAATTGATTCTATATATACACGTACATAAATGATCTTCTAAGCATCGGTGTTTAGCTTATATTAAACACCGGTGCTTAGGAGATCATTTTCGTATATATATATATACACACTTCTGCTATTCGTTGGAAATTTATATCTTTGCTGGTCTGCATTCTAATATTGTCATTATTCAGGCTTCACCCATAACTATAGGGGGGCGTCAAGCTGTTGTTGAGATAAAGAGGACCACTACTCGAGGTGAGTTAGAGGAGACTATTAGGATGCCTGTAAATGTAGTGTAATGGACAGTACGAGGAAGAACAAGAAGCTAAAATCTTGTCCATTATACTCTCGATTCTTGTCCAATGCAGCAAACCAAACGTTCCCTTTTATGATTTCTGTCCAAAGAACACTTTGCAAGAGTGTTTACTGTGATATTTTCATACGTTTAAAAGAAGCATTCACATGGATTGTTCATATGATATTGCTGTTGCTTTTACAGTGGGTACTGGGAGGGGTCGTTTTCCTAATTCACGTGGAGGGTTTCGACAAGACAGCTACAGGATTCGTGGAAACTTTAGTGGCGGACCTGGTGGTAGGAGTTATGGAAGAAATGACAGCTTCCGTGGTCGTGGAAACTTTGGTGGTGGACGAGGTGGAGAAGGTTATCACCAAGGAAGAGGAAGAGGAGGTCGTCGTGGAAGCCCACGTCCAAATGCCGTTTCAACGTAGGATGTCCATCTGAGATTAATTGGCGGAAATTTTCACTGTTTTTGTGGCCTGTGTGAGCTGAACAGTAAAACTTAGTCATTAATGTAGTCAAATTAACTTGTGAAAGTCGATTTATTTTTTCTTTCTAGTGCTTCATAATTAATTCTAAACTGGGTTGCCTGAACAAATGAAATGGCAATTAGTGTAGTATCAGTTAATCTTTCTAACATAATTTTTTATAGGGGCAACTTCTTCGCATAGTCGACGAATGTAACATTGCGAGAATCGCATTTTTCTGTTTGATGGAGATGGAGATTTTTTCAAGTAGAATTTTTTTTTGGATGTTGCTAAAATTGGATCCAATAGGAACTTCCCTCGTTACCTAAAGGTGGCTAATAGAATACCAGTTAGGGACCGGACTTCTAATTCTGCATGGTCAAAAGCAAGTAAAGAATAGATCAGTTAAGGATTTGTGTCCGTTGAAGGCGGCCTAGTTTTTGAATTTGGATGTGGGGGAGGCTTTATAACACGAGACAAATATATTTGGGTTCCGACAATATATTTTGGGAACGATTGTGTAATAATAACCAAAAAAAAAAAAAAAAAACCCAAGGTAATCTAAACTCTAGCGAAGCAAATGTATAATTAGCAAGAGAGAAGACAGAGTAGTCTTAAGCATATTGAGTTGCATTATTCTTTCAATGATACAAGGGGGTATATATAGTGTTACACGTGGAATGGTGCCAAATGAATGAATATACATGTGGTTTCATATCTTGAATCAGAGTATTTAATCTTTAAACATTAATTCAAATTTACTAGTTTGTGGCGCATTTAATGCTTCTATAGATGGCAATCACCCTACAACCTAAATTGATAAAATTTTGACATTCCACCATTACAAATGTCCCATTGATCATTTCACAAGGATCATACAATAAATTCAAGTTCTTCACGTGTGGCTCGTCACTTGAGCTTCAATTTTGACATTTGTTGAACTTCATCGCTTCGACAGTTCGACAGGAAAACTTCAGAGCTTCTTCATTAACACAAAACCACTTCAGTAATTACAGCTTCAGCGCTTCGAATTACAGGCTCCAATAATCCACGTAATTTCATCACAAGGGCTTCTGAGACTCGGTCATGTGGAGCCTTCATGGCAAAGTGTAACACTATATACCAACAGGAATTCTACACATGGAGCCAAAGTTTTTCATGTGCAATGAATGTACCGAACTAAACCAGAGCCAACTAGCGATAGTTTGGCTCGGGATGATCTAGTTCAATGAAAATCAAACCAAATTGAATACCAATGAAAGTTTTAGTTATGGAGCCAAAATTCTCCATCTACAATGATTAAATTGAACAATTTATATTTTTGAGAGAAAGGGAATTAAAATTAAAATTTGTTGTTAGGATTGAGAGCTGGAGCAAAAACTATTCATGGATCTAACAATAAGAATTATTTAAACTTTAACTAAAATCAACCAATAAAAAATATATCCAATCTTAATTGAGAAAGATATGAAAACAAAGAGCAAATTGCACTACTTGTCTCCGTCTTCGAGAGAGGTAGTATATCAATCCTCAACCTTTTTGTCTAATTTTTGTTTCCAGATGCTTTTGGTCCCAAAAAAAAAATAAAAATAAAAATGATAATATTAATAAAATGGCGATTACCTTTTAACTTTAAAAAAAAAAAAAAGGCTTATGTTTGGCTCATTTCTATAAACTGGTTATATTTACTCAAATAACTTTTTATAAACTGGTTATATTTACGGATAAAACCCCCTGTCCCGACTTGGGGACAGGGGTGTCACATGGTGCCCCCTATTGGAGGGGTGCCTGTCAGGCGCCCCTGTTTTTATCCCTGTCCCCAAGCCGGGTTTACTTAGTGACGGCAGCAACGAAATTGGGGAAAACCCAAGAGACACCGGATGGAAGGTGGTGGAGGGCTGGGGAAAGAAAATGGTCTTTATTTTTTGTTTTCCTTTTTTGTTTTTATTTATTATTTATTTGGGCTTGTTATATTTTCTTTTATTTTATTTAAATCCAATGCTACGGCTGTCATTTTACAATAATTTAGAAGATTTTTGGACGAAAATCATTGTATTGAATTTGCTAATTTTTAAAAGAGTGGAACAAAAATCAAATAAATAAAATTATCAAAGATAGTTGATCGAGTAATTTTGCAAGTGTAAAGATCGTAACAAGTAATGAAGTAAAATTTTAAGTACAAATATAATCCCATATAGACTAATTACTTACTATGATTTTTATTCTAATATGGCTTCAATCTGAATTATTGTGGTAATCCATTAACAAATCGATTATTTTATAACTAATTTATTCTAAATTAATCTAACTATTTCAATTTGTGGAGATTTTTGGGATTGAGTGGTTAGGTATTCCGAAGTCACCTAACTCGATTAAAATTCATTCAGACCTCTTTTCATATGTATTAACAATCGAATTACTCAATTTTAACTATTACTCTCTCTCGAGCAAAATTAGCCATATCCACATGGCCAAATTTATTATGTCTGTATACAAATTTGTACACATGTGAAAACATTAATTTGCAAGAATTCAATCAACATTGTATATATATGTTATAATTTTCTCTCGGCCTCTTACCAAAACAAGTTACTTATTGCATGAATTAGACAAATATATGTTTTCTCGGTCTTGAAATTATCATTAAATAGAATAGAACAGCTGATAATCAAGCAATTGAAATGTAACAAAATAAACAATTAAGACACAATCAAAGTTGTATAAAATCAATAGGATTAAATAAATAGTATATCTAAGTTACATTGTTCATCTAACAACAAATAATTTAGGCTAACATATAATTGAAACTAGATAAAAAAAAAAAAAAATGATTGTAAACATCGATGGATTGAATAAAATAAAGACAGAAAAGAATCGAAACAATTGTTGTTTTTTGACACAATTTTCAACCAAGATCCTCTGTTTTCTCTTCAAAACATGTGAATTTCTCGTCCAAATTTGAATTTTCTCCTAAAATAATTAATAAACTAACATAATTTAGTATCAAACTCATAATTTTAATAATCAAGAAAAATATAGCCTATGTTTGGGCTCCATTAACATGTGTTTAGGGGAAATGTATTTTGAAATAGTGATATTGTGAAAAATGCGTGGTTCAAAAAGAAGAAGAAATTTGAATTTGCATATGATATTATTCTATCGAAGTATATGTTATTAAAAAGGAAAAAATAAAAGTATATTTGGATAAAATGGAGTCCAAACAGGAACGTAATATTTACTATTTACACTTATCAATCATCCATTTCACTTTCCTCTAAATAATGAAGAAAGAAGAGAGAGAGAGAGAGAAACAATGAAGTGAACCTGTCGAAATCTGTTGAAAATTTAAACTTTATAAAACTAGAAACTTTAGAATTTGAAAAACCTAAATTCTTTTACTGTCAAGATCGTCCATATCAAATAATCAAAAAAATTAATAATGTGGAACATACCTTAATTCTTTGGGAATGATTCTTTATCACTGAATCTTGATTTCGGATCATGAATCTTAAAATTTGAACTGCAATCTTTTCATTTTTGGCTTCTTCATTTTTAATTTAGAATTTTGCCTTATTTGATTCTTTAATTCTTGTTCATGATTTTGCTTCTTGATCCATAATCTTGATTCTTAAATTACTTCTTCTTGATTCTTGATTGTGAGTATATGATCTTTCTCTTGTATTCTTACATTGATGGGATGACACAAAGAATGAGAAGTTACATATGAATTGTGGACCATAATCCTATACATAGTTTCCATATGTATTTCCTTCATCATGAACAATTATAAAAGAATTTGATTTCTACACATATAATCTGACCCACACTTTATTTAGACGCCCTAAGCTCAACAATTTAATTCTTTATTAGATCTTCTTAATTTTGGGCTTAGATTTAAGTTAACCCTATACACAATTAATTACATATATAGGCCCATACGAAAAATTAAAATTTTTTCCAACAATCTCTCACTGGGTCACATATATTACTTGATAAATATGTATAACCTTATGACGTCAAAACTTTTGCTATCATAATCAAAAGTATCTCCAAACAATCTTGCTCATCAAATATGTAAATATAGGATCAAAATGGTCTTCATTACAAATATCATAACTGAACTCTCAATGGTCACGATATCAACACAATCAAATGACATAGATCAAGTGTAGATGTATAGCATGAAAATTATATGCAATGTGATCCTAACATGCCTATTTTCAACTGATCTTACCTTATTCTTTAATGAGATCAACCATAAATTTAAATCAGAGCGGAACTGAACTAAATACTTTATTTCTGAAATAAATCGAATAACCATGGATAGATTTATGTGTCTAAAACAGAAAACACATGAATACAAACTCCCACTAAACTGGTATATCATCAAAAGATACAACACCCATGTGAACAGTATGCTCATGAAAGACCTTGGGTGATAGCCCCTTAGCAAGTGGATCCGCAATTATAGAGTTTGTTCTAATATATTCTATAAAAATATGAACACTCTGAATTATTTCCTTAATAACTAGAAATATGTCTATAAACTTTGACATCGTCAAGTTCATGTTGAAATACAAGTCTGTTATTGTCACCGAGTAACTAAAGTGGTCTTTTAAATTCATCCAAAATGTGTTGTCCAGCGACAAAATTTCGCAATCATATTCCATGATCAGAATAAGAATATCCAGTTATCTCCAATCGGTCTGATTTTCCTAAATGAGATCATGTGATCCTTATTTCTCTATAAATACCGAATAATCTAATTGGATGCTTTCCAAATATCCATTTCAAAGTTATTTAATTATGTACCTAGCATTCAACCAATGGATGACATATCTAGACGTATGCAAATATTAGCATGCAATAAACTCCCAACTGTTGAAGCACAGACTGTATTTTTCTTTCTTTAAACTTATTATTGGGGCAATAATTTAGACTAAACTTATCTCCCTTAGTAAAAAGGATATCACTTAGTTTACATACCTGCATCCCAAATCGTTTAAAAACTTTATCAATATAGCTCTGTTGTAATAATCCTAAAATACTCCAACAACGATCTCGTTGTGTTTGTATACCTGACATAAAAGAGGCGTCACTAAGATTTTTCATTTCAAAATTTCATAACAGAAATCTCTTGGTTCGTGCAATATGCTTGTATCATTGTAGGCAAATAGTATGTCATCGATATACAATACTTGAAAAATATGCTTACTCCTATTGAACTTGTTGTATACGGAATCATCAATTGTATTTATCTCAAAATC